GTAACAATAATAATTATCAGAATGGTATTTGTTTCACTAATTAATCCCTTTAGACAATTAGCACCTGTTTTTGGCTTGTGAGTATTGCTAAGCTCTGCAGAAGTTGCAAATCTCTAAATACACCTCATTTGTAAGCACATATAATTAGGGTTTCATAATTCCTATTTCATCCACAGTTTCTCATTTCTTTGTATTCATTGAAAGTCAGTTAGAACCATGTAAATGGTCATGCATGCAAAATTGCCAGATAATTTTTATAGCAAAGACAGAAAAGGCAGTAGGTCCACTCTCCCATTTGCCCATGCTGCACAAATGGAAACTGTGTTTGTTATCTTGCTGACAAGTCCAGACTTCCATAAGTTCTTCATCAAATAAATGGTGTATTGTTGCTCACCTTAGTTGCTTCTGATACCAGATGAACTCTGATTATGGTGCCCTGCTCAGATGCTGTTGCGATGTACATCCCATTGCAAGACATGACAATTGCAGCCAATGGTGAACGGTGAGCATCTATCTGTCATTGAATTCAATAAATATATAAGTGAAACTGAGGATGCACATGAGTGAGCAAGAAAAGGATTCTTTCTTATCCAATCACCATAAAGGAAAGCAAAAGGTATGAGATTCTGCTGGGTAGTGGGTTAGAATAATGTTAGTGAAATGAGATGAAGAACACCCCCCCCCCCCCTTGAGAAATTCATACTAAAGCTGGTATCCAAGATTCCTTCTTCTTTTTTTCCTTCTAATGAACTTGTATCCAAGATTTGAACTTCTTTTTTGGGAGCGGGAGCATTAAAGAGAGAAGAAACAAGAATTCCTAGAAGATATGAAATTTTCAATCACATGTTATGCTTATCAATCAATTTTCAAAGATTTTTCCCGCAACCTCGCAATGTGATTGAAGCTCCATGACATTGTACACCAAAACAGATCCTTTGGTCGTGCTAGAAGGAACAGCCAAGAAGCAGCCATCCAAACTAGGAGAGAATGCACAAAGTCCTGTGGAAAAGATAAACAAATGACAAGGCAATTAATGGCATATACGATTTGATTGATTAGTCTTTCTCTCATCCTCGTAGAACTATATAAACTCAGCACTCATCACTTTTCTTTTCTTTAACAAGCACAGATTGGCATGACAAGAAACCCATCTCTAGAATGTGCAAGATCATGCAATTAGCCACAACAAAACTTTGACTCACGACTGTTTGAATTCATTCTGCAAGAACTTCTGTTTAAACATCAATTTAGTAATAAAACATAGATAGCTATAAAAGCAGTCGTGAAGGCTACCTCGAAAACCCACATAACGAGGATCTTCTGTCTCACCTTTTACATTAGGAACTGTATCGATGGCATCCAATATTGCCAGCGTATGTGGATCATAGATATAAGTCTTTTCTTGCAAAACAACAACAAGCCTGCAATGATCAACAACAACAAAAGAATTCTTCCATCAAATCCAATTAAGGACAAATTTGAAAAAGATAAAAGAGTGAGTGTTCTGCCTCTTTTTATTCAATCGGACGGCGAGGACTGAAGTTAAGAAATTCAATTCGCGAAGAGCAGCTCCTGTTGTAGTATTGAACAAACAGAGTCGCCGGGGAGATAGAGATGGCTGTTTCAGGGGGGGAAAACAAAATTAATGCTTTAGAGAGTAGTAGACAAACAAAAAGAAAAAGAAGTAAGGAAGCACCTGTTCACCGCCGCCAACAATGGCAAGGAGGCTTGAACTATATAGCATTTCCACAACAACAAAAGCTCCAGAAGCTAACAAAAAATAATAAATACAGTATTATTCAAGAAATATCCGCTTTCATTTAAAAAAACGAAAAGAAAAGGAAAAGGAAAAATGGGTAGCTTGCCTCGTTCATAACAGAGACGTCCCGTATTAGAATCGAAGATCTTGAAACCATCTCTGGTGCTTATCGCAAAGCCACTGCGAAGACTCAATAGAAAAGAGAAGGAAGTATTATATAAAAAGAAAAGAAAAGGGAAGGTGTATGAAGAATAAAACGATGTTGATTACCTGCTGTCTTGATTAAAAGAAGCGCAGAGGATTGGATATTGTGAGGAGGAGGAGGAGGACTGACTACCACTACTCATTACTGAATTTATTGATTACAGCTGGCTTGGCTGTGCTTCAAAGATGTATTAACGGGTGCTGGGTTCTTTAATTCTTTATAATTTTTAGTCAGTGAGAAAGAACTCTCTCTTATCTTGCTCATAGATACACATATGTACATGTGTTCTTGGATTATAATGATACAGAAGACAGAAGGAATAGTGAAGAGAGATGATGACAACTTTGGCGTTGGAGTTGGAATAGAGGAGTACAATACAAGGCAAGTCAAGTTGAAGTTGTTGCTGCTGCGGCTGCTGCTGCGGTTTCTTGGTTGGGTCCCATCATCCATGCCTGCGGTGCTTCATCTCCACCGTCCATGCTGTTGAGATAACTTCAAGTCTTCGTTAATTTATTTCCTAGTATTTTAAGATCAACAACCGTTTATTCCTTCTAAAGACTTACAATTGCTAAAGATTGTTTTAAGGCGGCATCCGTTGTTCAATAAAATATTTTTTATTTTATAATATATTAAAATAATATTTTTTTTTATTTTTTAAAATTAATTTATAATATTAACATATCAAAACTACCTGAAAATATTTAAAAAATTAATTTTAAATAAAAAAACATGAAACCAAGGGCCTTTTGGTTTTCTAGTCAGAATTAGTTTGATCTTTTAAAATTAATTAATTAATATTAAAATTAAAAAAAAAATTAACGTAATTTATACATATATCAACGCATGAAAGATGTTTATGTCCTTTGAGCAACACTTATAGTACCTCTCAGTGGTCAAACTCATGTTTTCATTATGTCGTTGTGTCTTTTTTCTTCAAGTAAACAGAGTTGTGTGGTTTGTCACCAACAAGTTTTTTTTGTTTTTTTATTTTTAAAAAATATAATCTAATCTTTTTTATTTTTGATATTTTTATATCAATTCTTATTCTTTTTATTTTTAAATTTTATTTCTTAACCTTTTTATACAAATTTTATTTATTTTAGATTTAATCTTTTAAATTTTATATGGAAAATACAAAAGAATAATAAAAAGGGAACAAAAAAACTTCTATTTACGTTGCCATAGATGATGCCTCTAAAGAAGCTAGAACAAATTCACTAGATTTAGGTTTTCTTTATAAATTTAGTATAAGTTTTTTTCAAGTAGATATCATATAAGAAAAGAGGAAAAGGAGATTTATATATTTTTCTTCCATGTTGAAAAATGAAAAGAAAAAATCCTTTTATTCCCCTCCAAACTTGGAAATAAATAACTTATTTTAGAAAAAAAATTTGAAGCTATGTACCTTGTAAGGTGACAATTCTATTGCACAGCTTGCCTCATCACAAAATAGTCTGCCTATATCATTTATAATAAATGACAATCCTAGTTGAAATATATATAGAGTTATAATATGTATAGCTTGGCATTGTAGCCTAGAAAAATAAAAGATGTGCCTTGGTTAGGTTTTAATATTTTCCTCCATGAACTAGTGATGCTTGCGCTAAAAACAGCTTTAGTTTAACATTGATAACCATGTTTTCTTTCTCTCTATATTACTTGGTGTTTGTGCCCTACCTTATAATTTTTTAAATTAACCCTTCAATTTCTCTTTCCTTTCAATTTGTCCCAGTTCTTTTTATTATTATTATTTTTTATTTAAAGTGATTTATAAGGTTTGGATTTTGTTTTGATTTCACCCTCATTTATTATTTTTCTTTGTCAAATGTAGCTTTTATTTTTTTAATTGCTAATTATGTAATCTAAAATTATTTCTGAAATTTTTTTTTGGTGATTTCACCCTTCATTATTTTTAATATAGATGTCTTATTTTTTTTAGTAATTAATGTTAAATGTAGTTTTCAAGATGCATCTTCTATCATTTTCTATAGTTTAAATAAGATTACTTGATTTTATTGAATCTAGTCATGTCAATAATATTAAATTTTAAAAAAATGCACAATATAACCTGAGCATATTTTATTCATGTTAGAAAAAAATTGACCAGCACACGATACAGCACGGGTGATCGATCTATTTCATTCTGTTCATCATCCAAACGCATTACGCTGTTAACAAAATTTCACAAACCACCAGTTCACCGCATGTTCCATTTTCCCCCAAGCAACATGAGGAGGCAAGGAAAAACAAACCCCAACTGAGTTCCTCTTTGGATCATGAATTGCGATGAGCCTGATTAATGGGTCCGAAACTTCATCTCAAATCAAAGCCGAAAGTCTTGAAAACCCAAATGGTATATGATCTGATGTCAAACAACTAGCAATGCTATATTATTTTATACGCCGAAATGAATTAACTGTTGGTCCAAATCCAAACACTTGGAAGTCAATATCTTCGTTACCTCGACCTAACCAAACTTTTCGTCGCTTGCAATTGCACAAAGTACAAGACCAACCTTGTTGAAACATCTCTTATGAGAGGAAGCATGTTCTTGACCATACGTAAGAAAGCAAGGGTGAAATACCTTCGTTACCTCGACCTAACCGAACTTTTCGTCGCTTGCAATTGCACAAATTACAAGACCAATCTTGTTGAAACATCTCTTATGAGAGGCAGCATGTTCTCGACCATACGTAAGAAAGCAGGGGTGAAAAGGAAAAGATTAGGGGGTAATTGCCTGGCTGGAGAGCAAGATAAAAGGAGCTGAGAGGACTGGAAGACCCAAAAAAGATAGAACACTGAGCAACAACGAGCCGCGTGACCCTGCAAAAGCTACCAAAGAAAACGACCGTTTGACAATACCTCACTGGCACAGTTTCATCAGCTAAAAGACACTGTACAAGGAAATAATCTCCGAGACAAATCATCAATATCATCCATGTTTGCACTGTCTCGCCCATGGACGCGGCAGGGTATGTGACGATGCTTTCACTTATCAACACTGTATAAATAAACCCCATTGTGCACATTCACAAGCCAAACTTTCTTTCTTTCGTAAATACTATTGGACCCCAACCCATATAATGAGATTCTTTCAGTTCGGTTAGAAAAGGGATATGTACATTACATTTCCATGAAGCTAAAAAAACTCAAAAAAGACAGTTAACAGAGAGAAAGTAAACCTATATATTTCTTGAACAAAAGACAGCTTCTAGTTGTAAAGAATTACTTGAAGAAAAGAATCATTTTCCTGTTTGTTCAAATTTCGCTTTTCTTAATTCTTTCCTGTTTATCTTGGACCAGAGAGTTCCATTGCATAGGAATCCAAAGAGTGCTCATCCTCATCCTCATCCATTGTAGTTCTAAACATGCTGCTGGAACGATTAGGACCACTTTCATCATGTTTTGAAGCAGAGGTAGTGCTATTGTTATTGTTGTTAGGACGGGAGAGGCTCATTGTGGGATTATAATGACTGTGTGCTGCAACCCATTTCTCGGCGAGACCATCACCTTCAAGCATCCGGACCACTTCTGACATTTTGGGACGGTGAGCTGGGAGGAATTGAGTGCAGAGAAGCGCCACTTGTAACATCTCCCCCACCTCAATGCGACAGAAATTGCTCCCCAGCTCTTTGTCCACCAACTCTTCCATTTTCTTCTCTTGTTGTACCTTCTTCACCTGTCACCATTGTCATACACATTTTTTTACCAACTGTTGTTATTTGTGAATATGAGTTTGAAATCTCCTAACTCAGTTGCAACAATGTAAAGCATAAGAGTCTGAAAATAAACAAAACAAATCATGTTTACAGATATTGGCATGCAGGGCCCAACAGCATGAAATGTCCCTCACGGATAGGACTAATCCTATGCAATTATCCACACAAACACATCAATGATATGTCCTTTTCAAATGCTTTACGGCAATTGGGAGTGCTATATGCGGTCTAGAATCCCATTGAAGCTATATGGATTTAAGCAACATCTAGAACCTAGCTATAATTAGCACGATCATGTCTGATGGTACGCACAATGAAAATAATAAGCCATATGCTGGAAGCAGTTCAAGATTATAGTAGCAGCAGATGAGACTTACCCATTCAAGCATAGCTCCTTTCTGATTAACAGTTTTGCCAAATTCAAGAGCTCTCATTCCAGTAATAAGCTCTATCAAGAGAATGCCAAATCCAAAAACATCGGTTTTCTCAGATGACTGACCAGTGGATAGGTACTCTGGTGCTATGTGCCCAACAGTGCCACGGACAGCAGTAGTGACATGGGAATCAGCATGGTCTAAAAGTTTGGCAAGGCCAAAATCACCAACCACAGCCTCACAGAATTCGTCAAGAAGCACATTAGCAGCCTTTACATCCCTATGAATTATCTTAGGGTTGCATTGCTCGTGTAGATACAGAAGACCCCTGGCAGTTCCTATTGCTATCCTCTTCCTAGTGTTCCAGTCCAGTGCAGGTTTCACTGTTTGATGAATTGATTATCTCAGGAACATTCCAAGTGGCCCAACATAAATCACAGTAGTTCTAGTAATAGTTCTAGTAATAGAATGTGAAAGAAAAACAAATTCTAATTAGGTAACCATGCATTCAAAACTCACACCCTGCCACCTTTAGTTCCTTGAATGACAGTGGGGCCGAGGAGAGTTTCTCAGGATCTCCTAAAGATCGACCAAATTCAGATTTGAAAGTAAAGACATGGACAATTGTGCCTCAGAGAAATAAACATCAAGACAATTTAGAAAAAAATGGGAGCATGAAAACTTAAAGTTCTCTAGTATTGCCACTGTTGAATTAAATGTTTTGAGGAATTCAGCTCACTTTCTCACGTTCAACCAAAAAAAGAAAGCAAAACTTCATTTCAGTCTCAAACTGAACACAAATACAGCATGGATAAAAAAAGCATAACAATAATAAACTATACATTCACCATGAAATTGGCGAAGAGGAAAAAGGTCAAGACCAAAGAGAGAGAAAGAAAATAAATTGACCAGAAATAAGAACAAATCTAACACGTTCTAAAGCTGTGCCATGATGAAGTTAGAACCATGGGCACCAATTAAGACCTCTTGAAAGACCAGAAATGGTTAGAAACCATAATATGGGAAACAGGCAGTACCTCAATAATCACAAAGCAAAAGGATTTATATTGCCAGAAATATTGTTGTCCACCAAGCATTTTTATGCATGAAGTTGCATAAGGTAACCAAGTGCTAACCTCTAAGCCTTGAAGCCACGCTGCCATTAGACATGTAAGGATAAACCAAAAGCCTCTCATTATGAGAGGCACAATATCCAATCAACCGCAGCAAATTGCGGTGAACTGCAAGGCTGATCATCTCCAGTTCCGTTCGAAACTGTGATTCCCCAGCAGTTCCAGTCAAATCCTTTAGCCGTTTCACAGCCACCATGGTCCCATCTCCTAGCTTTCCCTTGTACACATTGCCAAAACCTCCAGCACCAAGAATGTTCTTTGAGCAGAAGTTGTCAGTAGCAATTTGAAGCTCTCTGAAAGTGAAGTTCCGGAGATTTCCTAGGCTAATTAGCTCCTCTTCTTGATTGTCTGCAACAAAATTCCATGACCCATCTCAGCGTTTTTCAGGCTCATGCTGTCATTTACTAAAATTTAGATAAAATAGGATGTTACTTATACTAACCACTAATGTGAAGTATCATTTGGCCTTTTTGTTTCCCCCGGAACCAAAGGATTCCAAGTGCTAGGAGGAAGAGAGATACAAGACTGAGACTAACCCCAAGTGCAATTGCTAATTTTTTGGGTTTATGCTTACCTACATAAGAACAGACATATTACAATTTGACTGAAAGAGATTAGCCAAAAGGTACACATGAGAGGGACATAGAGATTTCACCGGGTGATGAACCAAGAGAGAAAGAAAGAGGACCAGCATTGGCTGATCCAGAGCACCCTTCAATAGAGCCGCTTCCACAAATCATTGGATTACCCACAACACTGCATTAACCAACAATGTAACACAAATATAAAATAATATTTGATAAAGCATTGACCAAGTAGACAATAATTGAAAAACAAGGTTGTAGATAAACCATACTTGAATGTTCTAGCAGGGGACTTGGGCACATGTCCACTGATGTTGTTATAAGACAGGTCCCTGAAATACCAGTGTAATGATCAAAAATAAGAAAATCCAAAGCGAGTTGCTGAGCAAAAACATTATGACATCAAAAGGTTACCAGCATGCTGCATGCTGTGTTCGTTTTCCAAGGCACTTAAACATAAAATACAAACAAGAACTGAGAAAAAGAAAACTACACTCACAAGAAAGCAAGCTGTGGGATTTTGGCCAAAGACACAGGAAAAGGCCCAGACAAGCTGTTGTTGTTTAGCCTCCTACTCTCGTATTACATAACAAAAAATATCACAGTAGTTAGCCACAACGATATCAAAATAAAGCAAATAAAAACATTTGGTTTGGTTACTAATTGTGAATATTTAATGAAGATCAAAATCACAAACCACACTACCCAACCAATTCCATCAGAGCAACAATTTGCCAATTTGCGTACACCTTTTACAAAACAAGAAGAAAAAAGGAATAGAAACCATGAAACAAGGCATGCAATTCTGTTGGCGTTTTGTTTTCTTTTCCTTTACTCCACCTTCTTGGAAACCATACAGATTATGAAGAATAAAAATAGCAAACAACTTACAGGTATTGGAGACTATTTAATTGGCCAAGAGACTCTGGTACCCCACCAGAGAACCTGTTGTTAGAGAGATCCAAAGTCTGAAGTTTTGAGAGAGTGCCAAGCTCTGGCGGAATTTGACCAGAGATGTTATTGTTTTGCAACAACCTTCATATCCATACCAACAAGTTGGAACACAAAAAATAAAGTATTAATCATGAGGAGACAAATGGGGTTGTAATTTCTTATTCACGAATTTTCTTCACACTAGAACAGATAAACAAAGATAATCCACTCTGTTTTGTTGCAGACACAGAGTTTTGAATCATGAAATCCCACTTTAATATTAGAGTTTTGCCAAAAGACTGCTTAGATGTAGAAAATCAAACTGGAAAGAAAATTCAGAACGCAGAAATTCTTTTTACTAATTCACCTTCCTTTTCTTAATTACAGCAAGAAACAAGAAAAACAGAAAACTCAAAAGAGAAACTAGAAGTGGGTTTATCAGAAAGTGAACGATAAAAAATATTGAAAGAAAGAAAAACTAATGAAAAGAAGCTCAAAGTTCTTACACTTGGCGAAGATTAGTGAGATTTCCTATGGTTCCGGACAGAAAACCAGAGAGAGACTGGCTTGGAGCCCCCCTACACAGCAAGACCAAGAAATGAACTGTATTTCAAGTTCTATGAAACAAAGTCTCTTAAAATTAAATAAAGCCAGCAACAACTAAAAAAGAAGGAGAAAAACTTGGAAACTCACAAGCCAATAACAAGATTTTCAGGAGAGCAAGTGATCATAGCCCAGCTACAAGGATCAACAGAATCCTCATCCCAGTTGCTTAACACTCCATGTGGATCATGTAAAGCTTCCCTTATACCTATCAAAGCCTCCACTGCAAAAAAAAAAAAAAAAGCCAACAACTTTAAAATATTAAAATCCACAAAAACGAATGTACATGTAGAAAATAGACGCTTGATAGGGTTGTAGCTCTTGTTACCTTCATGGTTTCTAGGTTCATATGAAAGAGACAGTTTAGCTAAAAAGAGAGAGAAGAAAGAGAGATGCAACAGCTTGAAAGCCATAACTAGTTAGCCAATAATTCTAGTCATGAACATGTCTAACAAAGAGAGCCTAAAATTGTGAGTGGGGCAAATGTAAGTTATGAAACAATATACTACAGCGGCTACTATAATTTTTTTCTTTTTACTTTCATCTCTTTTTTGTCACCATCTTTTAACAAACAACACCATCCTTTACTTTTCTCTCTCCATGAGTAGTATCTTTTCTTGTTGCTTTTGGTCTTGTAAGAGGGGGGGAGAGAGAGAGAACGAGAGAGAGAGAAAGTTGCAAGTAGAGGGAAGGAACCAGGTGTGAGTTGGGTGATACAGGTTGTCAGGCTGGAGAGTGCAGAAATTGAGAGGGAGGGGATGGCATGGTACTGTCAAAAAGATTGGCTTATCTCCGTCTTTTCATTTTTCACTTGTTGCACCCAAGACATGGAGGAGGTATAGTCTCAGAGAATCAAAAACCAATTGTGATGCCACTCATGAACCCTTAAAAGTAAAACAATAATTTTGAAGAACATTTGTTTTCTTTTAGTGAGTAGAAGTTATTTGCTACTTTTGATGGTCTGCTAGACTGCTACGCTGTTAGATGTGTACTGCCATCATTATGGCTCTTTGTAAAGGAAATGTTCTTAAATCTTAATTATTTTTTCTATACAATTCCATTGAAATTATTGTGCATGGGGATGAAACAGGGAAGTGAAGATGAAGCATTAAAGCTGAGCATTTTAATGTGAGTGGAATGGATTTCTGTCTTAAAATATAAATTTTAAGAAAATAAATTTTAAAAAAATAATTTATTTTTTGATGTTTAGTAGTATAATAAAAAATAAATTATAAAATATTTTTTAGTATTTAATTATATCATAAAAATGATATAGAGTGGAATGGATTTCTATCTTAAAATATAAATTTTAAGAAAATAAATTTTTAAAAAATAAATTATTTTTTGATGTTTAGTAGTATAATGAAAAATAAATTATAAAATATTTTTTAATATTTAATTATATTATAAAAAATATCTAGAAAATAACTTATTAATATTTTATTGTTTCAAGTTTATTAAAATAATAAAGAACAAATTATCTTATAAATTAAAAAGTTAAATGAGAATGAAATAGAAAAAAATAATTTTATAAATTATCTTAAATAAAATAAATAATAATCAAAATAATAGACATCAAACCTAACAAATAAGAAAATTGAAAGATTAAGAAATTAAAATAATAATTATTATTATTTCATAAATTATTTCAAATAAAATAAGTAACAATCAAAAGAATAAGGATCAAATTTGATTGATAAAAAATTTCAATTGAAAAATGATAAGGGAAAAGTAAATAACAATTATAAAAATAAGGACCAAAGTTAATATAAAAATTAAATTCTAATGAATTATATTGAAAAAAATATTCAAAACAAAATATATATAGCAATAAAAAATTTGAGGACTAAATTTGATATAATCAATAAATAATATGATATTTTTAATTTTTTCACAACTTTCAGAAAGTGTTTTCCATCCAAAATAAAAGGAAAACACTTTCCTAAAAACCAAACTAAATTTTCTATTGACTAAAAAGTATTTTCTATTGACCAACTTTCATAACAACAAACAAACACAAGAAAGTTTGGAAAATGATTCTTAGAAAACCAGTTCCTTAAAGTGTATTTGGTTTAAGAAAATAATAAATTGATGACTTTTTTGTATTTTTATGATTTTAATATTCTAATGTTATATGTATATATATATATATATATATATATAAACATTTTCCTACAAAACCTAAAACCTAACACGCCATGTTATTTACATCAATTTAAATGGGTGTTTTAATTTGAGCATACAATTTGCCTTTTTCTTTCAAATCATGCAATTAAACATAACAATGATAAAAATATCATTTACTATAAAATTAATAGTAACTTGAAAAATAGTATAGGCACTAGAATTGTTCTAGAATGATCATTTGCTAGTAGTGTTGGTAATGATGGATATTTTCTATATATTCTCATGCATGTTTTCTATATGAGTTGTAATTATCAATAACAAGACATGAGACTGTGAGTCATAGATGGACCCTTAGCAAGATACGCATGCATTTTTTAATCAGTATTTTGCAAATATATGGAAATATCTTATAATTAAATTGGCATTTAAAATATAATTGTACGTGACATTGTGTTTTTTTCACACCAATCTCTTATAAGCCACACAAGTCTAAAATTTCAATGAATCATAGAGCTCCAAGCACATATCACAATCTTTAAGTAAGGTGTGTGTGTCATTATTTCATTAAACTGAAAACGATGACCAAACCCCCTGGAAATTTTATTGAACCAATAATCCTATACATTCTATCTTCAAATTAGGTTTGGATGTTTACAGAACCTCATTAGACAATACTATTAAGTAGAAGAGTAGAAGATTTGTTGTGATCTCTGGCTAAAGAACTCAATTTCAAACCACTCAAACACATCCCAAAACCTATTATTCGGCATAAGTGCATTACTCTCGTATTATCACTGGTATACTTGTCGTTTACAACATGGAGAAAACATACATGCATTAATTGAAAGCACATTCGGTGGTTATATATCTTTTAAAATTGATTATATGATCATCATTAATACATGTTGCCCACAAAATCTAGAAGTTAAACAACTTTCGCATAATTCCATTGCCACTCAAGTCTTACATCCCTAGATAGTTTAAGATTATAAGTGACATACATATTCTCTTATCTAGATACTCTTGCACGAGTTCAAGATTATATAAACTACCTTGAACCCTAAGGTAAGTTTTAACTTTATGATCTTCATTTTTTTTCTAATTATATCACAATTAAAGGTAAAGAGTTTATCTAATATCCTATACCAATGAAAACCACTCTTTACACACACATCTAATAAGTATTGCATGTTCCATCGGGACAATAAATATGATATCAAACAATGTTATGCTTTGAAGAAAGAGATTGAATAATTAATAGTCAAAGACCATATGCAATAGTTTGTGAAAAGAGATACCCACATTGAACAAGGTAGGGAAGAGTTCAACCAACCTAACCAGGTCTTGCCAGAGATCAATGTCATCTTGGGTGGAACTTCAACATCAAGTAACAGTGGGAGTGGAAAAGGAAAACATTGGGAAAAAAAATCCTTATTATCACCTACCTATCTAATGCATGGCATGAATCCTTTATTTACCCTCAAAAAAAGAAACGAGGTAACTTTTCCACAGAAGGAAGCTCTTGTCCTCTTAACATTTTTGGCTAATCACCATGTCCATAGGATGTTAGTAGACAATGGTAGTGCAATCAATATTCTCTCAAGTAAAGTGATGATATAAACAAGAATAGTTCGCTTGAAATAAATTTTTAAAGACTCTTCTCATTAGGATTATAGGTACAGGCATGTTCGTGAGGGGTGTATTGAAAATCTCTGTCATTATAAGGATTTTTTCTAAATGTATGACTCTCTAACAAGCCTTTATGGTCATTGACATGAGTCTAGCCCATAATACCATCATAAAAACTCCTTTTCTCCACAAGATAAATGTTGTTATCAGTACTAGAAACTTTTTATTGGGCTCAAGCTACAGCACAAGCCTGGGAGTTTAGCATCCCCAACACCTTAGGTGGGCTTGAGCGCTCGTTTGAGCTCAAGTGCTGATCATTCACAATATTTTTTTGTGAGCTTGGACGCACCATCCAAACCTAACCCCTAAAAGATATGTTATGATCTACTTTTTAAGCCCAAAAATATATGTTGGGGTCTTTTTTTCTTTTTTCCCTTATTAATTCGCATGTAAAAGATAGTTTTCTCCATTAATGTTAATTAATGCTTCCATTAATGTTAATTATGCTTGTGTAATGAATATTTTTTCCCTCATAAATGTTGACATGGTAAAATTACTCTTTAGCTCTCCATCCAAGAAAAAGATAAAGTCCAATTGCTATAAGTTTTTTTTATATTAAAAAGAGATTTAAAAAAAATAACTTAAACTTTAAAATTTAAAACTTTTTAAGTGTATTTATCACTCATTTTTTCTATAAAATTATTAATTTTATAATTAAAGAGTTTTTAAACACCCTAAAAAATTACCTAAAACAAAAAATTACCTTAACATTAAAGAAAAAAAGCTATTTAAAAAGACACCTAATCAAACTACCATTCAACCACTAAAAATTCTTATTCTATAGATACCTTTTACTTTAACACTTCATAGCTGAGCAACCATTTTCTTACAATTGTTGTGGCTAGTGAATTAATTGCAAGAGCAACACAGACATCATCCTGGCTTTCATGGAACAAAATCCACCCATCCCCATAAAGAAGCAAAAGAACAGCACTGAAAAACGAAAAGACGAAAAGGAAAACAAAAAACACAGTCGTGAAGAAGCTTTTATTCCAAAATCCAAACCAAACCCATTAAACTATACACTGAATTTTATAGAAAAGTGTGTAATAAGAACATCTTGGATATGAATATATAAAGGTGATCATACTACACATATAGCAAGAAGTAAAATAATAATACAGGGAAAGGGAGAAAGCTCAAGATCAAATCTTCGTTGGAGCGCGCTTATTCTTCCATGCGAGCTGAGGGTGGATTGATTCTTCCAGCGATGGGCTGGTGTTGTTTTTCAGTGCAGGTCGAAAAAAAGTGCTAAAGCTTGAGAATGGGAAAAGGCAAAAGGTGACGCCCGTGCCTTACCTTGGCCCCACAAATGGTAGCCTTCTTACCAACCATGCGTGGCTTGCGTTGTGTGTAATTTTGGATATGTCCGAGGCTAAATTTGTAAATTTCAGTTATAAGTTTTACGCGTAAAAATTTAATAAATTCACAAGATTTAACCACTTTTAAAAATCAATTGGTCACAATGCTATTTTTTGGGGGCATGTTTATATGAAATATATGCTAAATGATGCATATTATAAGAAAAATAATGTTCGGAGTCATTTCTTTCGGTTCTCATAATAATAATAATAATAATACTTTTATTAAAAAGTTTTTAATTTCTTAGTGGCATTAATATTATTTGTCTTTTGCATGTCCTTTAATTTCTTTATCAATGAAATGGACCGACTATTTATAAGATGAGCTACAGTTAGTAAGCGTAGCATGTGGATATAGCTAGAGGCCATGCTATTGTGTGGGTAATTGTCTCCTCTTAAAATAGCAGAGATCCTTGATTTAAAACCGTAGCTATCAAATCTTTTTGTTGCGGTATTATGGTATCATATAATACATGTGTTACATGCCCATGTCCATTAAATTTTTTAAGGAAAAAAAATAAAATTCATTGAGTATCCACCTTGTTTTTAGATATAGATTATTATTAATTGTAGTTATTGTTTTATTCTTAAAAAGATCGGGTGAATTGATTTTTTCATTTAAGATTTATTTATTATTACAAGATTTATAGAGATAATTTAGTTTTCTAACTTTTCCGATGAATAATATAATTACTATATTGCATAAAAAATAATATTTTAAAGAGTTGTATGGAAGTAATTTAATCTTTTTATATTTTAAAGATACAA